TATCTGATTTTTTTGGTTACATGTTTTAAAATATTTACATAAACATCTCTCAAAACCCGATTCATTAGTATAAAGCCATACCAATCTTATGTGTGGCTTTATTTTAAGATATTTTTATAAAATAAAAATGATATTAATATTCTATATCATAAATATTTATTGTGTAAAACAAAATATTTTTTCGAATTATGATATAATATTCTTTTAATTGTTAATATATATCATTAAAATTTTTATAATAATATAAATACAAACTAGGAAGTATTGTAGGAAATTTTACATTGTAGTTAAAGCATATTAAAATAATACAATGTTTCTGATACTAGTGTGGAAAAAGTAAATAATTCACATACAGAAAAGTTTTATCTAGGAGGAAATAATGGAATTTAGTCTCATGCTATGTTCTAAATAATTCATTGTGCTCGTATTGAAATTTATAATGTGATAAATTTCAATACGAGCACAATGAATTGTTTAGAACATAGCATGAGACTAAATTCCATTCTCATGTATTTATAAGTATCAGATAACTGAAAACTTCATGCAGTTTTTGAGGGTGTAAAATTAAACTATATATAAAAGTTATAAAGATATTTTATTCAGGAAAGTATGCACCAACACAATAATTATTTCCTAACAAGATGCAGCTTTTCCAAAATATCTAACTAACCCTCAGAAACTGTGTAGACATTTTTGTTACCTGATATAATCTTTGTTAATATTAGTTTTTAATGTTACAGTATATCAGAATTAGAAAATCAAATTTTCTTTTTTATATAAATGTTGTTGTTGCAACATTAGATAAAAAATATTCTGTATTTCAAAAAACTGGATACTTAATTATATAACACTCACCAAATAAACCATTCCCAGTTCATAACCAAACAGAAAAATTCTTTCTACGAACATTTTCATCTATATGTAATAGACATCCTCAGGTATTGACGATATGGAACTAACGGCTAGTAGAATAGAATGTTTTTGAAAGTTACGTTTAACTACGTAATTCGAATACGTTGCATTAAAATTGAAAATATGTAAAATATTTAAAACATATCCGAATAAATAATTGGTTTCACATAGATCACGATGTAAATATCCTCCGTAATTTAAAATATCTTTGATGCTCATTTCAATCATTGGGATCTAATTCAAATATGGCGCGCCATGCTGCGGAAAGCATATCGGTTTCTTTGAAATTAATACCGACCCCTTTTTTAATTGCCTTATATGTCTCCGGCATTTGAGGTACTTGAGTTGTGCCTTATCCCATGTGCAAAATATTCCCATTTGATGTATATTTGTGACCATATTACGAAACTTTCTTTTCTTTAACTTGTTAGAAGTAAGCATAAGATTGCTTGAGAGAACGAATTACACAGGAACACACAACAAAGATAGATATACAGAGTATATTATTAATTATGGAGGAAATGCATTTTGGACTATGTCTTTCATCAGACCTCTTTATTTTACATCAATCCAAAAACATTACAAGTTATAGTCTGAAAATTTAAGTTATAGTAATAAATATACATAAAGTTATAATGAACATAATATTACTTGGATGGCAGAAGTTTGGTGTGTGTTATGGTTATAGTAGTGGCAACTGGATTCTGATATATTGTAAAATATCTGAGTAAAGTGTAAATGAAGTAAACAGTAAAGAGTTTTAAATAAAAATATAAAATGTCATGTATATCAACAAAATTAACTTACTAGTGATATAACAACACAAAAAGAAGAAATAGTCCGTACATACCATATTTTAAAATTAAACTTTTATCCTAACAAAATAATTAACAGATGGTTAAATAAAACCACAAATCAACAAACAATAACACAAACCCAGTTAATAGACAAAAAATTAAATTATATTCCCAATTTATTTGAGAAAATACAAAAATTAATGACACCATATAACATCATTTTGGTTCAATATTAAACAATGAAATTGAAAAATTAAAAACTAAAGAAACATCAGTGAAAAAAATTGATATAATGCTAAACAATAACATAGTTTATACTTTCACATTCAATTGCCAAGTGAATTACCATTACATGGGTGAAACCAGCAGAACATTAAAAATCAGAATCAAAAAAAGTATTTAAGAGCCATTAAGTACAATTATTCCAACTCTGCAGTCTCAACATATTATAATCATGCAGGTTGAAAGGTCTCACTAGATAATTTCAGAATTCTTAAAAAGGAAATAAATTATTAAAGGAAATTTTTTGAACATCTAGAAATTATGAAAAGTACAGAAGACAGAATGAATTTGAATATTGGCACTGCCATTGGTGAGATCTGGTAACCACTGTTATGGCTCTGAGAAGAGTCCATTTAAGATACTCCCCTTCTCTCCCCTGTCTTTCTGTATTACACTGTAATGTGCATCTAAAGTTTAGATCAGTGTTTCTCAACATGGGCGATATCACCCCCATGTGGGTGTTTTTTTCATGTTGAGGGGGCGATTAGTAACAATTTATATTTTGGGGGGCCGAAAAACAATTTTCTGGACGATATAGTAAAACATTATAGTAAGAATAATTGGATATTTTATTCATTATATCGTACAATAATTAAACAAATAACATTATACTAGTCATTAGTCTATTCAATGTAGTACGAATTTGGCGTTAGCCTTGGCCCTCAGCATCGGAATTTTGAAGTGAAGGGGGCGATACTACGTTGTAGAGGGTGATGATTCATTAGAGGTTGAGAAACACTGGTTTAGATGATAGTCAACACTTTTAACATTTTAATAAATTTTATTCCTATTTGGAATATACAAGGTTTGTTTCACCAACATTATTTTTTACAGTTTTAATAGTATTTTATTACCTTTTATAATGCAAAGGTATTCCTTTTATGAATATTTTTATTTAAAACTGTACTGTTTACTTAATATACAGTTTACTTAGGTGTTTTATAGTATATTAAAATCCAGTTGCCACACTAACCTTAACACACACACACACACACACACACACACACACACACACACACACACACACACAACTTCTGACATCCAGGTAATATTGTGTTCATTATAACTTTATGTATATTTATAACTCTAACTTAAATTCTGTAATGTTTTTATAATCAGAGTGATGTAAAATAAAGAGGACCGATGAGGAACATATAGTCTGAAATGCATATCTTTCATAATTAATAAAGCCTTACATCTATCTACATTGTGTGTTCCTGTGTGATTCATTCTCTCAAACAATCTTATGCTTACTCTTAACTAAAATTAAGAACAAAGGCAATCAAGTACAAATTAATTCAACTTGTTTCAAAATTAAGAAGCATTGTTTGTATTAGAAATCAATAATAGCATATATAATAAAATAATATTTTTTGATATGAATGGTTTATTCTGATTACTTTCTGAATGAAAATGAATTGATTTAATCTTTCATCACACTACTTTGTACATTAACCTTTGGTGTATGATTACTAATTTTAAAGAATTGATATGATTCATGTGGGATCATTGAAACAACATAAATAAAACTTGAAAAATTAAGATGATAAACATAAGCATTCAAACATCAAGAGGTGGCAGCCTAACCACCTACCTCTAGTTAAATTACTTTATATCTAGCATTTAAAATTTATTTTTATAACCCAATAATACTGCAAATTTGTTACACATACTATTCTCACAATGCTTATTAAGAGCAGCTCTGTTTTTGGGCATTATTTAGTATTGATCAGAATACCTGAAAGTACTTGTAATCACATATAC